TGCCTCTTCTGTGAAAATTGATGCCACTCCTAATATGAAACATTTTCAAAGTTGTGGAAATATATAACAAAAATAAAAACATTTAGTTCGGTTGTCAATTAGAAAACTATAAAATCCAATATACATCAAACGCAAGTTCTAATATTTGATACCAACTGTAATAGAGTACTAAACTACAAAATCAATGATTAATAAAACAAACACAAATTGGCATGATCAAAAGAGTGGTCCCACCATCAGGCAATACACACCAATCAGTGGTAAAAACTAGATCAGACTACATAAGATTGTGTTACAATACATGGTATGGAATATTTATGATGGTCATTACTTAATAATTGTATTAACAGGAAATAATTTAATGGCCATCAATATTAAAGATTGAAGTGTTATTGAATTGAACATTTTTAATGGCCATTACATACAATTAATAACCATTACATAATAACGCTTGAGACAAACAGGATGGAAATTCCTTTTTTGGTCATTATATTACATGTGTTAGTAATTAATTGGCATTAAGTTACCATTAATTATTTTTCATTACAAAACATAATGGCCATGATATAAGAACAGGTTTTGGTAAAGTTATAATAATGACTATTTAATGACATCATAACTATATTGACCTGAATTAATGGCAATTACTTAGGATTATAATGGGTTTTTTCAGAACCCATTAAAAATGTCATTACAAACTTTGACAGGACTTTTAATGGGTTTCTGGGATTTTAACTGGATTTTAATGGGAATTTAATAGTTTGACGTTGCAGTAGTGATATCTGAGACGCCAAATGTCCGTCAGCTCATTTTTTTCAATAAAGTTTTTTAGTTCATGATTGCCCACATCTTCACGCTTGGGCATATGTTTTCTATCTAATTTCTTATTTAGACAACCGTTAAAATCTCCCATAAAATAATTCACAACATCATTTCTTTACTTGATGTTAACTTATTAAAAATTTGTTTTCTTTCTATGGCAATATTAGGGGCGTAGACATTAAAAATTCGAACAATTTCGTTTGAGTCTAATTTGAATTCAACTATTTATTTTCTTCCCTCTGTATTTCTATATTTTTCAGTAACGTAAATATCTAAATTTTATTTCACTAAAATTGCTACCCTTTAGAAACGGAAGTCCCGATACACCAAAAACTTTACCCTCCCCATATTTTCCGCTTTCATTTTCTACCAATTGTGTACAATGAGTATCCTGCAAACATATAAAATCAAAATTCTTTTTCTGACACCATTGAAATAATGCATTTCGTTTTGACTTATCTCCCATACCGTTTGCGTTTTATGACACTAAAAGTTATGAAGAGGACAGATTAAAAATGAGACTCCGTAAATTTTACGGACACCATCAGGAATTGGTCGATCCATACGATGTGTCTTTGTCCAAACTAACTAAGGACATTTTTACCCCGTGTTAGATTGTGGTTTGACATTACGTCGTCTGATCTTTTAATTACCGAACGTGACTTATTCCCGATTGTGACTGTTTTGCTGAGTGTTCATTCGCATTGCTATAAGACGTGTCACGGTACTTTTCTATCCAAAACTCATGTATTTAGTTTTCTCATCGGATTTTGTCAAATGTCTTATCATTTGTAGTTGTAAATCTTATTTTTTTTCTGTTGTATTCGCGTGTTATGGTAAAGATAATTAATCATCCAGTTCATTAATTAGATTTTAGTTTGGGTCAACTAAATTTATACGATATATTTTGTTTACAGTTTGATTTAGAAAAAACACCGACATCGCTAGAAAATACTATTAATCAACTTATTACTACCACATTTTTATTAATTAGTATTGTAATTTTCATTGTTATTAATAAATGTTATATGAGTATTATAAACCAAATCTTGAATTCTATGCTAATTCTATCCTATTTTGGGGAAATTTCAGAAATTCAAATGTGACGTCACCTTTTTTTTTTGGCGTTGTTCTCTTTGGCTAACTCGGCTGTGAAAATAATTTGATCAGCACTTATTTTCCAAAGTGTCAATGACATTGCTGATATAAACCTATGATATAAGTTTCATAAATTCTGGCAAGAATTGTAAACATGAGAGCACTAGCAATTTTTAATAACATCAATATTTCCAAGGGGCATAATTCTTTAAAAAATAATTGATCAGCACTGATTTTCGAATTTGTCATAGACATTGATGATATAAACCTATAACATAAATTTCATAAAAATCTAGCAAGAAATTTACACATGAGAGCGCTATGGATGGACGGACAGACACCAATAACATCAATATTTCCAAGGGGCATAATTCTTTAAAAAATAATTGATCAGCACTGATTTTCGAATTTGTCATAGACATTGATGATATAAACCTATAACATAAATTTCATAAAAATCTAGCAAGAAATTTACACATGAGAGCGCTATGGATGGACGGACAGACACATATTTATGGTTTATGTTGTTTTATGTATTCGTTTTTATTCTGTAGTTAGTCACCACTTCGGTGTTTTCATGTATATCTATTATATAGTCATTTTTATAAACTTACTGTTTGCAAAAGTATGAATTATTCTAAATACTAAGGATTTTCTTATCCCAGACATATAACCTTAGCCGTATTTGGCACACCTTTTTGGAACTTTTGGTCCTCAATGCTCTTCAACTTTGTACTTGTTTTGGCTTTCGTTCTTTTATGATCTGAGCGTCACTGGTTAGTCTTATGTGGACGAAACGCGCGTCTTGCGTATTAAATTTTAAACCTGGTACCTTTTGTTAGCTATTATTCGTATGTTTCTCTGTCCTATATGTTCTCCCATTTATTTGTATTGTAGTCCTGTCATGTAATGTTGTCATTTTAATGTTATATTTAAGGCTAGCCACATAACCAGGTTAAACCCACCATTTTTTTCTTAAAATGTCCTGTACCAAGTCAGGAAAATGGCCATTGTTATATTATAGTTCGTTTCTGTGTGTGTTACATTTTAAATGTTGTGTTTCTGTTGTGTCGTAGTTCTCCTCTTATATTTGATGTGTTTCCCCCAGTTTTAGTTTGTTACCCGGATTTGTTTTTTTCTCAATCGATTAATGAACGGTATACTACTGTTGCCTTAGTTTATGGGAAAAAAATAAGTATGTATATTATAGACTTCCAAATTCTGCATATTTAGTTTACTGCACAGTTCAATGATTTCATTTGTGTTATACAAACAAAATAAAAGTCCAACAGATTTTGAATATATTTACAATAAATTAGTTTGCATGCACATTAATAGTGCACTTTTTTAGTTATCTCCCATACTATATATTTTATATACACTTATTACTTGCTTAGTTATTTCACCAACACATACACATATTTGTATCAATAACATAATATAGTTCAATAATTTTCCAAAATATTTACAATACGTACAAGCTTTTGCATACACAAATAAAAACAGTGATTTTTTTTTTAATTTCCATAATATGATAAAAAATTTATATTGATATATATATATACATTTTTTTACACCAAGTTCTTCATTAGCTTGTTTAAAAAAAATTGTGCTCGACTAGTCTATCTAGAAAACAGTTTCTTCCAAAGAAGAATTTGGTCTTTTTGGTAGTTGTTTCTCGGCTGATCGTGGTGTAGAAGCTGAACTTCGAGTAACTGTTTCGTATTGGCTTAATCTGTCTATGCTCATAAAGTTCTTGATATGAAAAACAAGTTGTTTTGCCCCTTCTGGAGTAATATGTACACCGGATGGTTCATTTTGTCAAACAATGTTTTAACGGGGTTGTAACCCATCCCTGGTCGACAGTAATCATCCTAAAGATCGACGAAAGATAGTCTTTGGTCTTTTGAGCACACCTTTTCCATATACAAATTTACAGAATGAGATGTCAGATTACATTTTGAAAAATTTGGATCTTGCCCTTTCATCGAAGTATACTGAATATGTTTATATTCGCATTTGGAAACTCTGCTTTTACTTTATTTAAAGCATTTGTCATATTAATACAAATTATTTCTTTTACTGTATTGTTTTTTTTTGTGACGTCGTTTGTATCCAAACCAAAGATGACCTTTGACACATAATTTTTTTCAACACTTTTGTCCAGTGTGACTTATAGTTTGTCAATGTACTCTGCTGTACTACCAGAAACAGATGCCATATGAATTGTGCGGTCAGATATCTAGAGACGGCAACAATTTTATTTTGATCTTTTTAAGCTCTCTTGAAATATAGAAATCATTGCCTGTCTATTTTCTACATTCCCTAATACTAATATGCTTTTCTGCATTAAGGATGTTCTCTACTCTTGTTTTTGACTTTTTGTCAGATATTCGGAATCCACTAGTTTTATCCATGTTAGTGCTAATAAAAATTTTACCTGCTAACCCCTATTTGTCTTTCATAATTTTATTACATATAGTTTAAATAGCCATATTTGAAAATGCTATAAAATCCTTGTTATTATTTCATAATATTTTTAAAGAAATAGGGTGCCTATGTTAAATGAATGAAAAGTCTAGAGAGAATTATTTCCCGCCAAATTTTCAACGGCTTATATCTCGAAAACAAGAACACGGACCCTTAATTTTTTTCTGCTTTTTTAGTTCCTTTATTTATATACTATCATTTTAGAACAGTCTTTTAATAATCTTGTTATTTTGAAACAGAGTAGCGAACATCCTTAATGCAGTTTTTTTCTATATGTTTATAGATATTTGTATTCTTGCTTGGCTATTTTGACATGTATGAAATAAAACTAATCTGGAAAGAGGATGCAAATTTAAGTAATATGCAAATCAATTCCAAATCTTCCACAAAAATTTAACAGCGTTTTGTAAAGCAACACAATTCTGTCAATCAAACTTTATTAGTCAACTTCAACACCTTGTATTTTGAATTTTTTATCACATAGTTTATTTTTAACAACCATGAGTAGAAATAAAAGATGTGAATTCATAGAAACAAATTATTTTATTGAACCATTTTTATTTACCTTCTGTTTTTTTGTCTTTTTTAAGGATGGAAATACTGCGTTACATTATGCTTGCAGAAGAAGTCACAACCATATAGTAGAATATTTGTTATTCAGACATTGCAATTCTAATATACGGAACTATGCAGTAAGTACCAGTGAATGGGTATCTTTGTTATAGGTCAAAAATTTACTTTGATATTACAAATTTAAACTTTGGAATACTACGTCAACTTACTTCAACCTATATCCATTTCGGTTTGGCAACCAAATGTACGGTATACTTTGACCAAATATATGTAATAATCAAATACATTCCGCGTAGTAAATTTGCATTTTGGTTTTGCAATAACAAAACATATCATAATCACAAATATCTCTCGATGTCAATGAATAAATAATTAACAATAAGCGCTTTTCTGCAATTTCATTCATCTGTTACGCCAAAACTTCAATATTAGAAATACATAGTAATTATCATAAAAAGAATGTGTAAAAGCTTTATGACAAACATGGCCTCAGAAGAATAGCCAAATTGATGAAAGGTCATCTTTGCCTTTGGGAGTAAGAAGTTTTGTTTTTTTTCTTCAATAAGAATAGAAATAGACATAGGATATCCCATGTTTAGCATTAACTATCTGTATTTGATACTGCAATTGAATTGTTTTGAGAGTTTCATGTGTGTATTTTGGTGGTTCGTTTTTCGTCTCAGAAGGTATCACCAGTCAAACATTTTGCGTTTTTGTTTCGTCCTAGAATATCATTCATTATTTGCCAATAATGATACAATAGTGGTAAAATGTTTAAGTTAGTATATACTCTTAGGATATATCTATTCCAAGGATTACATGTAGAATACTTAAATAAAAGAAGTTGTATGATTGCCAATAAGATAATTCTCCACAAATCAACACAACAGACAAAATGACACACAAATTAACAATATACGTTAAGGAATGGTGTTTAACATTGAGCAAACCCAACGCCGCATAGTCAGCTATAAAAGGCACAAAAAAAAACAAATGTAAAACATTTCAAACGAGAAAATTAGTAGCCTAAATAGTATTCAAAATAATGAACGAAAATAAAATATTTTATACAGAAACAAAAGAAAACCACTGAATTATAGGCTCCTGAATTAGGACAGGCACATACATAATACGGTGGGTTAAATTTGTTTAAAGGCGCCAACCTTAAACTTAGACAGTGGTGTACCCGTACAACATAAGAACAAACAGCTCGAAAAGGCTGAACATATTAGATGGATACAAATAGAAATGCATCCAACAAAAACACAGAATGAACGTAGATTGGTACTTAAAATACATCCAAACAATATGGAAACAATATTTAGAGACATGAGAGTAATCGTAGTTACTGAAAGCTAGTGCAAAGCAAATAACAATTAATCAAAAAATATGCATCAAGCACTAGCTCCACAATATAAATTGTTGACACAAATCTTTTGAATTTTGGTTTGCAATGCTCTTCATCATTGAAATATATTTTGTATTCCAGCTGACTTAAGTCTACTCAAATGTAAACGGAACAGGCGTCTAGCTTTATTAATTATAAAACTGACATTTTTGATAAAATTTCCTGTTATTTCTTACTAATACAAATACATTTTTGTCAGGGTGAAAGGCCAATAGGCGTGGTCAGAGAAAATGCAGACATACTTAAGATATTTAAGGTAACTAATTAATAGTTCTTCTTTTTAAACGTTTTTAACTTATTGAATAAAAGTATTGATGTTGTCTTTTTTGTTGTTGTTATAAAACAGGTAAACAGTTCATGTATAACGAAGTTCGTGTCTTGCATATACTAAAGATTTATCAAAAATGATGAAGTATGATTCTTTTTGAGTCCACCCTCAACCAAAACCAAACTACGCCGATGTAATATGTAGGCCACATATTATGCACATGTTTGTCAATCTTTATTATCTAAAATCAATTATACATGTTTCGATGCTATTTTGCAGGAATATGAAATGTGGCTTTTACGTGGTGAGTATTATTGAACTGTAACTCCATGACTCATCTGGATAGTTAAGTCAACCCGATTATCTAGAATACAGATTACGTTGTTATAAAATAGATACCAACACTGTCAACTTAAACATGTTAAATGTTATTTTACTTAAATTTCTGACCTATCGAATAGGCATATACTGACATAATAATAAAGATTCAAAATTTAACTGTATAAATGTCATGCCAGGTTTCTCCTGGGTTTGCAGTCTTCAGGGAAATCCGAAGCCAAAACATTGTAAGCAACATGTTATAAGAATTGGTACAATTGAAGAGCTATATCACCAAATAAGATGAATGTGGCACAACTTCATCTATGTTAACACTTCGCTTGCGGGTGTAATTCAGTGATTGTCGTTAGTTTCTTAATATCATATTCGTTTTTTTTTTGTTTTTTTTTTTGTTAAGGGCATTTGATACAGTTTCAAAGAAGTTAACTCTTGGCGCCATGTTAAGCGTTCTTATTCTCACAAAACGTCACTTTCGGCGAGAAGTCGTACGTGTTGTTTTCCGTAATAAATCTCACACACGTTATATTTACGCTCTTTTATTAAGTTTTTTCATTTCACTATGAAATTTTTAGTATATATACATGCGATAGAAATGATAAAAAGTATAATAAAATCACAAAAAATCAAACACATATATTTCTGTTGTTCCTCGTCTTGAATCTTTTATGAGACCGTCGACAATGAGGTCAATAAACTATCATATGCTTGTATACTTAATCTGATGTTCAGTGGTTGTCGTCTCTTTATGTGGTTCATAAGTGTTTCTCATTTTTCGTTTTTATATAGATTAGACCGTTGGTTTTCCCGTTTGAATGGTTTTACACTAGTAATTTTTGGGGCCCTTTATAGCTTGCTGTTCGGTGTGAGCCAAAGCTCCGTGTTGAAGGCCGTACCTTGACCTATAATGGTTTACTTTTATTAATTGTTAATTGGATGGAGAGTTGTCTCATTGGCACTCATACCACATCTTCCTATATCTCATTAAGACGACTGACTCTTTTTGTGCATGTCCATTAACATCTTTTTATTATCACTGATGCCTAATCGATTATGGATTTGATCCGATATTATGTATGTCGGAAAACACACACAAAAATAGTATTACGGCGCAAATCAAGAGTAACAAGCAACGCCGATATCGATTTGCATTCATGAGCTTTTAAATCTCATAACGATATTTCTGATAGCGCAAACACGCAGTTTTAATAATTGTATTCCCTTGTATAGAAAGAAAATCATGAACATTTCATAAGAAGAAAATTTCTTCACGGCACATTGTATTCCTTTTAGTTATGTCAAATATAAGAGGACGCAGTAAAAATGATATGCCGCCATGGATGATACAACTTTTAAAATGTGTGCAAAAATCATCACAGCTATATTTTGAATTTTCTACCACATAATGTGGTATTTCTGAACATTTACAAACAGTTTATGTGAAAAGTATGTGCATATAAAATAAACTATGTGCATATAAAGCAAATGTATGTGCACACATAGAAAAAGAATGTTCAGATATTGAAAAGTATGTGCATATATAAACACATGTTCGCATGAAGCAGCTACGGCTTGCCATATGTACAGTTGGGTGCAGACCAAGCATTACATTAAGTAAACGCAAGTTAACGCCGCGTGCACATATTTCGTTAGTTAACTTCAATTTTCGCGTTTACTAGTAAACGCGCGTTTACTATAATTACGTTAACGCGGTCAAAATGGAAATTTCTAATGTCTACCCGAGTAAACGGGCGTTTACTCTGTGTCCGTTTAGTCAGTAGTAAACGGGCGTTTATTTCAGATTTCACAAGTTTATTTTTACGTGCACTTAAAAGTAAACGGGCGTTTACTACAGATTTCGAAAATGTATTTCTACGTGCACTTGAAAGTAAACGCGCGTTTACTTTTCGCCATAACTGATTGTGGAAATTAAGAAATAACTTTCGTGTTCATTTGTACATTTATTTTAATTAAAACGACTTGTATCTTAATATTTTACGTACAAATGTTTCAAACCAGAACAATTCAAAAACACTTTTAATTGGAAATATTAACTTTTATTAATTACAAAAAATCAATTCCAATAATTTTGCTGAGTAGCAGATTTTCTATATTTTATTTTCAAAAGTTGCATGTACAAATATCGAGGCGGATAGAAAGGTTATCCAACACATCGGATAAATATTTGTATATGATGGGATATAAACATCATGGTTTACGTTGCTTCGTTCCCCAATTTTAACAGTCTCTTCCTAAATATAACTCTTATGCATTTAATACATGAATTTTTAATCGTAATTCTCCTTGTTTGCCTTGGATTTACATGATTTAAGATTCTGTTTTGCCAAATGTTCAATCGAAAATTGTACAGTGTATATATAGAGATGTTGATTAGGTGTTGTATAAGTATGCACATTTGTACCATCTCGTCAATTTAGACAGACTTATCCATATCTGCGACGTCCGAAAAATATACTCGTTCTGAACATGAATAAAATATTTGCCCCTGGACGTTAGGCTACAAACGAAATCAATCAACCGCCATAATATATTAACAGTACACTATTCCAAGAAGAGAACTTCTCATACTTTTCAATATAAATTACTTTAATCAGTCATGTCAGTGTTGGATGATGCCGTTAAATATTATAGTTTTGTTTTAAATACAAACCATCCAGAACTACTGACTTTAGTGACAGTTCATTATCCATAATAAAGTGCAAATATGGTCAGTTTTGGTTGATGCGGTCAAATAATTTTCTTATATGAGTCAGCCTAAGGTATGAAAACACTAAAATTTGTTTTTAAGATTCAATATTTTGAATAAAAAGAGCACATGCTGGCACTCAAAATTTATGCAAACAAAATTTTTTAGTCATTATGTTCCAATATTGCTATTATTTGTATTATACAATCCATCCTTATATGAAAATATAACTCATTTACTTTGCGGCTGTATAGATTTACATAATAAAGTGCTAATATGGTTAGTTTTGGTTGATGCGGACAAATAATTTTGTTATACGAGCCAGTGTGAAGTATGAAAACTACTGAAATTTGTTTACGATTCAATATTTTGAATAAAAAGAGGACATGCTGGTACTCTTAATTGATGCGAACAAAATTTTTTATTCATTATGTCCCAATATTGCTATAATTTGTTTTATACAATCTATCCTTACATGAAAATATTACTAATTAACTATGCGACTATAAGATTTACATAATAAGTGCAAATATGGTCAGTTTTGGTTGATGCAGACAAATAATTTTGTTATACAAGTCAGTCTGAGGTATGAAAACTACTGAAATTTGTTTACGATTCAATATTTTGAATAAAAAGAGGACATGCTGGCATCTAAATTTATGCGAAGAAAATTTTTTAGTCATTATGTTCCAATATTGCTATTATTTGTATTATACAATCCATCCTTATATGAAAATATAACTCATTGACTATGCAGCTATATAGATTTACATAATAAAGTGCTAATATGGTCAGTTTTGGTTGATGGGGACAAATAATTTTGCCTACGAGTCAGAATGAAGTATGAAAACTACTGAAATTTGTTTACTATTCAATATTTTGAATAAAAAGAGGACATGCTGGTACTCTAAATTATGCGAACAAACTTTTTTAGTCATTATGTCCCAATATTGCTATCATTTGTATTATACAGTCCATCCTTACATGAAAATATAACTAATTTACTATGTGGCTATATAGATTTACATAATAAAATGCTAATATGGTCAGTTTTGGTTGATGCGGACAAATAACTTTATGATACGATTCAGTTTGAGGTATGAAAACTACTGAAATTTGTTTACGATTCAATATTTTGAATAAAAACAGGACATGCTTGCACTCTAAATTGATGCGAACAAAATTTTTTAGTCATTATGTTCCATTATTGCTATTATTTGTATTATACAATCCATCCTTATATGAAAATATAACTCATTTACTATGCAGCTATATAGATTTACATAATAAAGTGCTAATATGGTCAGTTTTGATTGATGCAGACAAATAATTTTGTTATACGAGTCAGTGTGAAATATGAAAACTACCGAAATTTGTTTACGATACAATTTTTTGAATAAAGAGAGGACATGCTTGCACTCTAAATTGATGGGAACAAAATTTTTTTAGTCATTATGTTCCAATATTGCTACAATTTGTTTTATACAATCCATCCTTATATGAAAATATTACTGATTTACTATGCGACTATAAGATTTACATAATAAAGTGCAAATATGGTCAGTTTTGGTTGATGCGGACAAATAATTTTGTTATACGATTCAGTCTGAGGTAAAAAAACTACTGAAATTTGTCTGCGATTCAATATTTTGAATAAATAAAAGACATGCTGGCATTCTAAATTGATGCAGAAATTTTTTTTGTAGTCATTATGTTCCAAAATTGCTATAATTTGTTTTATACAATCTATTCTTACATGAAAATATTACTAATTAACTATGCGACTATAAGATTTACATAATAAGTGCAAATATGGTCAGTTTTGGTTGATGCAGACAAATAATTTTGTTATACAAGTCAGTCTGAGGTATGAAAACTACTGAAATTTGTTTACGATTCAATATTTTGAATAAAAAGAGGACATGCTGGCATCTAAATTTATGCGAAGAACATTTTTTAGTCATTATGTTCCAATATTGCTATTATTTGTATTATACAATCCATCCTTATATGAAAATATAACTCATTTACTATGCAGCTATATAGATTTACATAATAAAGTGCTAATATGGTCAGTTTTGGTTGATGGGGACAAATAATTTTGCCTACGAGTCAGAATGAAGTATGAAAACTACTGAAATTTGTTTACTATTCAATATTTTGAATAAAAAGAGGACATGCTGGCACTCTAAATTGATGCGAACAAACTTTTTTAGTCATTATGTCCCAATATTGCTATCATTTGTATTATACAGTCCATCCTTACATGAAAATATAACTCATTTGCTATGCGGCTATATAGATTTACATAATAAAGTGCTAATATGGTCAGTTTTGGTTGATGGGGACAAATAATTTTGTTATACGAGTCAGTGTGAAGTATGAAAACTACTGACATTTGTTTACTATTCAATATTTTGAATAAAAAGAGGACATGCTGGCACTCTAAATTGATGCGAACAAACTTTTTTAGTCATTATGTCCCAATATTGCTATCATTTGTATTATACAGTCCATCCTTACATGAAAATATAACTCATTTGCTATGCGGCTATATAGATTTACATAATAAAGTGCTAATATGGTCAGTTTTGGTTGATGTGGACAAATAACTTTATGATACGAGTCAGTTTGAGGTATAAAAACTACTGAAATTTGTTAATGATTCAATATTTTGAATTAAAAGAGGACATGCTGGTACTGTTAATTGATGCAGAAATTTTTTTGTAGTTATGTTCCAATATTGCTATAATTTGTTTTATACAATCCATCCTTATATGAAAATATTACTGATTTACTATGCGACTATAAGATTTACATAATAAAGTGCAAATATGGTCAGTTTTGGTTGATGCGGACAAATAATTTTGTTATACGATTCAGTCTGAGGTAAAAAAACTACTGAAATTTGTCTGCGATTCAATATTTTGAATAAATAAAAGACATGCTGGCATTCTAAATTGATGCAGAAATTTTTTTTGTAGTCATTATGTTCCAAAATTGCTATAATTTGTTTTATACAATCTATTCTTACATGAAAATATTACTAATTAACTATGCGACTATAAGATTTACATAATAAGTGCAAATATGGTCAGTTTTGGTTGATGCAGACAAATAATTTTGTTATACAAGTCAGTCTGAGGTATGAAAACTACTGAAATTTGTTTACGATTCAATATTTTGAATAAAAAGAGGACATGCTGGCATCTAAATTTATGCGAAGAACATTTTTTAGTCATTATGTTCCAATATTGCTATTATTTGTATTATACAATCCATCCTTATATGAAAATATAACTCATTTACTATGCAGCTATATAGATTTACATAATAAAGTGCTAATATGGTCAGTTTTGGTTGATGGGGACAAATAATTTTGCCTACGAGTCAGAATGAAGTATGAAAACTACTGAAATTTGTTTACTATTCAATATTTTGAATAAAAAGAGGACATGCTGGCACTCTAAATTGATGCGAACAAACTTTTTTAGTCATTATGTCCCAATATTGCTATCATTTGTATTATACAGTCCATCCTTACATGAAAATATAACTCATTTGCTATGCGGCTATATAGATTTACATAATAAAGTGCTAATATGGTCAGTTTTGGTTGATGGGGACAAATAATTTTGTTATACGAGTCAGTGTGAAGTATGAAAACTACTGACATTTGTTTACTATTCAATATTTTGAATAAAAAGAGGACATGCTGGCACTCTAAATTGATGCGAACAAACTTTTTTAGTCATTATGTCCCAATATTGCTATCATTTGTATTATACAGTCCATCCTTACATGAAAATATAACTCATTTGCTATGCGGCTATATAGATTTACATAATAAAGTGCTAATATGGTCAGTTTTGGTTGATGTGGACAAATAACTTTATGATACGAGTCAGTTTGAGGTATAAAAACTACTGAAATTTGTTAATGATTCAATATTTTGAATTAAAAGAGGACATGCTGGTACTGTAAATTGATGCAGAAATTTTTTTGTAGTTATGTTCCAATATTGCTATAATTTGTTTTATACAATCCATCCTTACATGAAAATATTACTGATTTACTATGCGACTATAAGATTAACATAATAAAGTGCAAATATGGTCAGTTTTGGTTGATGCAGACAAATAATTTTGTTATACGATTCAGTCTGAGGTATAAAAACTACTGAAATTTGTTTACAATTCAATATTTTGAATAAAAAAAGGACATGCTGGCATTCTAAGTTGATGCAGAAAATTTTTTGTAGTTATTATGTTCCAATATTGCTATGATTTGATTTATACAATCAATCCTTACATGAAAATATTACTGATTTACTATGCGACTATAAGATTTACATAATAAAGTGCAAATATGGTCAGTTTTGGTTGATGCAGACAAATAATTTTGTTATACGATTCATTCTGAGGTAAAAAAACTACTAAAATTTGTCTGCGATTCAATATTTTGAATAAAAAAAAGACATGCTGGCATTATAAATTTATGTGAACAAAATTTTTTTGTCATTATGTTCTAATATTGCTATTATTTGTATTATACAATCCATCCTAATATGAAAATATTACTCATTTACTTTGTGGCTATATAGATTTACATAATAAAGTGCTAATATGGTTAGTTTTGGTTGATGCGGACAAATAATTTTGTTATACGAGTCAGTGTGAAGTATGAAAACTAATGAAATTTGTTTACTATTCAATATTTTGAATAAAAAGAGGACATGCTGGCACTCTAAATTGATGCGAACAAATTTTTTTGATCATTATGTCCCAATATTGCTATCATATGTATTATACAATCTATCCTTACATGAAAATATAACTTGTTTGCTATGCGGCTATATAGATTAACATAATAAAGTGCTAATATGGTCAGTTTTGATTGATGTGGACAAATAAATTTATGATACGAGTCAGTTTGAGGTATAAAAACTACTGAAATTTGTTGATGATTCAATATTTTGAATTAAAAGAGGACATGCTGGTACTCTAAATTGATGCAGAAAATTTTTTGTAGTTATTATGTTCCAATATTGCTATAATTTGTTTTATACAATCCATCCTTACATGAAAATAGTACTGATTTACTATGCAACTATAAGATTTACATAATTAAGTGCAAATATGGTCAGTTTTGGTTGATGCGGACAAATAATTTTGTTATACGATTCAGTCTGAGGTAAAAAAAGCTACTGAAATTTGTCTGCGATTCAATATTTTGAATAAATAAAAGACATGCTGGCATTCTAAATTTATGTGAACAAAATTTTTTTGTCATTATGTTCCAATATTGCTATTATTTGTATTATACAAACTATCCTTATATGAAAATATAACCCATTTACTTTGGGGGTATATAGATTTACATAATAAAGTGCTAATATGGTCAGTTTTGGTTGATGTGGACAAATAATTTATTTATACGAGTCAGTGTGAAGTATGAAAACTACTGAAATTTGTTTACGATTCAATATTTTGAATAAAAAGAGGACATGCTGGTACTCTTAATTGATGCAGAATTTTTTTTAATAGTTATTATGTTCCAATATGGCTATAATTTGTTTTATACAATCCATCATTACTGAAAATATTACTGATTTACTATATGCGACTATAAGATTTACATAATGAAGTGCTAATATTGTCAGTTTTCGTTGATGTAGACAAATAATTTTGTTATAAGAGTCAGTCTGAGGTATGAAAACTACTGAAATTTGTTAACGATTCAATGTTTTGAATAAAGAGAGGACATGCTGGCACTCTAAATTGATGCCAACAACATTTTGTAGTCTTTGATAACATTATCAAATAACTGTAATCGTCAATATGTCAATCGAAAATGACAAGTTGGTCATTTAATTTTTAAGTACCTTTTCATTTGATATTTTAGGTCAGTGTATCCAGGATACGATGACAATCTGCGTTAACGCGCGTTTACTACAAACAGTAAACGTGCGTTTACTTTTGACAAAAATAGAAGACGCACATTTTTTCACGTTAACGCGGAAGTAAACGCGAAAGTAAACGCCCGTTTACTCTTTACAAAATTAGAAGACGCGCCGTTTTTGCGTTAACGCGGAGGTAAACGCGAAAGTAAACGCCCGTTTACTTTTTATGTCTACTGAAATTTCGGAGTAAACGCACAGTTAACGCGGCGTTAACATGAAGTGCACGCGAGTAAACGCCGCGTTAACTTTTTCGGCCCGTCTACATGTAATGCTTGGTCTGCACCCAACTGTAAGCCTTCTAAACAAAAATAGCGCATGCCATTTAGAAAAGATGTGACTTCTGCACACATGTTGTTCAACTCGTGCACACAAGATAGTAACTCTAGCTATATTTGGAATACTGGATCAGCCTTAGTACGTGATAATTTTGCAAAAGTTTAATGCTTGTGATTGGATTTTTTGCTAAGATTTGTTAAAAAGCCTCAGCATCAAATCAATGAGCGTATATCAGGGTTTTTTTTCGCGATTTGATGAAAAAATGGGCAGGTTAAAGTTTAGCTTTGTATTTTTTAGCTGAATGGTGAAATACACGCGAAAAAACCGTATTGTATTGTTAAAGATGTGAAGTAAAACATAAAAGTAAATGACTGACAGATAATTATTTATACACACTCTGTTGATCTACCAACCAACACTAAAGACTGATTTTATATGTGTATACAAAAATGTAATTTCACCTTTAGGGTTAAATAAGTGAACATATAAATTTTATGTAAACTCGATAATTAGCAGTTTTATCTATGAAACGTTTATAGAACAGCCGGTAATCCAAAAACAGACAGGAAAATTTACGCGAGTCAAATGTTCGCGTTTCTGTATTAGCCGCGAACAAAGCGAAAATTAAACACACGCAAAAAAACCCAATATACGGTATAAGGTCATGTCAGTTACAAATATCTTGCACACTAAAAAAACAACAAAGCAGGAATATTGATAGGCTTTGTCCGTTTTTCCTCGACGAGAACATACATATGATTCGAACAGGAAATCTAAAAAAGAGATATACTTTTAGGTAGTATTTACTTTTTGTCAAATTAATATGACATTTGAGTTATTGACATTTAGGTCTTCCAATTGAATTCGGAAAAATGGATACGAATTCAGCGCATGTATTCTCAAGTCTATTGAAGGAAGAAAGTTATCCTCACTATGAGTCAAGACTTATGTTAGCTGGCGAACAGGGCACTGGGAAGACAACTATAGCGAGATATCTTGTCGGTAAACGACCCACTAAATTAAGAATGTCAACTGATGGAATAGAATTATACAATGGTCTTTCATATATGGATCGTGATTCAAAGGAATGGCTTGGTGGAAAGCAAGGTAATCATTTAAAGAAAAAAAAACCAAAGACATATTGAAACTGTCCTAGTACTTAAAAACTATGGTTTAAGAATGTCTGCCGATGTAGACGTAAGAAAAACATGATTGTATTTTTCAACAAAATGTGTGTCTAGCGTAGAATGTAATTTATACATACTTGTTCTACTACCTCGCGTTTTCAACGTTCCTCCAACAGCTAAGACAATAAACTGACGTGAACCGTCGACGATAAATTACATCAATGTAGATGTAATGACAAATTATATCAACATTTAACAAGTGAAAGTCTATATTTTCATTTAAACAGATCTTTTTATATATTGTTTTATTTAATAGCATTTTGATTGAAACTTGATACATGTATAAACTTCATTTTTTCGAAAATCTTTTCCTTATTCGAAAAGAAAAACATATTCTTGCATTGCTTTTACTTGCAAACGAAATCTACATGGTTTATAATAATTTTTTAACATTTTTAAATCGACACGATAGGTTTTTAGAGGGAATAACGAGACTTGTATAGGAACTTAAAAATATTGGTTAAACACTGTTAAAGTGTCTCGCCTACTTTTGCTGTTGTCATGTTTTCAGTGTGATCGGGGAATGCATATATAATAGATTTACAGTTAATGAATGTGATAAATATTTTTAAAACTTTAACTGCAGAATGTATGTAATGTTGACTGGAATACTAGCTAAATCCATTTATAAGTAATATACGGGAAAACAAGAAATAAATGTTTACAAAATTCCCTACTAGCCTTTGATGATAAACAAAGATCTGTCCACGTTTGGTACAAATCCAGGATAGTTTAAGATAGTTATCAAAGGTACAAGGCTTTTAATTTGGTACGCCAGACAAAAGACCTACAATGTATCAGTGACGCACAGATAAACATAGTTAGAAAGCCAAACAAGTACAAAGTTGAAGAGTATTGAGGACCCAAAATTCCAAAATTTCGTGCCAAATACAACTAAGGTATTCTTTGCCTGGAATAGGAAAATCCTTATTATTTCGAATAAATCATACTTTTGCAAACAGTAGATTTAAGAAAGTTTTTAAATTTTTTTAAAACTTTAACCATGTTAACTGGCAGAAAAACTTAATCCATTTATTAGTAAAATACGGATACACAGGTTTGTTTTTTTACACAATTACTTCTGGATACTGTCTTATGATCACAAACAAGCTTTTGTCCATGATACTGATAATTTGATATTTGATAATATTCATTTGACCTCATTCGGTACGATTTTTCTTTGTTGGCATATTTCATTGTTTTTCTAGTGAAAAAGATTATAAGAAAGTGTTAGGTGCTGTAACTCTAATTTTGACATTTTTACCTATAACATCTTTTTTTGCACACATGGTTGTAAAAATTTGAGGGATTTATAGGCGACTGTCATACACGTGTTAACCACCATTTTCAACATAAGAAAATGCCATTACCAAGTCAGATATATGACAGTTGTTTTCTATTCGTTTAATGTGTTTGAGCTTTTGATTTTTGCATTATATTTAAGACTTTCCGATTTGATTTTTGCATTAGATTAAAGACTTTCCGATTTGAAATTCCTCAGAGTTTAGTATTTTTGATTTTACCTTTATACTAAAGTCCTTAAAACAGAGTACTTTTGTATGTGTCCAAAAATATTGGCCTCTGCAAGCATTGCGTTTGAATAGTATCACAATCATTATACTGACTAATTTTCTTTTATATAGTAAATATAAAGATTGTATATTTTAAATATACCTGAAACAACAGAGTATGACTCTCAAACCATTTAAGAGAGCAACACGACGAGTGCCACCTGTGGATCAGGATCTGCTGTTTGTCTTTTTCATTTTTAGCCATGGCGTTGTCAGTTTATTTTCGATCTATGAGTGTGACTGTCCTTCTGGCATCTTTCGTCCCTCTTTTACTTCGCCAATAAAAATGGAATTTTGAGCTCATTATACAATTGTTGTAATTCCGAGTATATCTAAATATCAATAGATACCTTGGATGGTCGTTCCTGCAGTCAGGATAGATCTTCAGTAGAATAAGAATCGCCTGTCTGACATTAGTGCATTACCGGAAGAGGATTTCTGGGTAGTTCTTCGGACATCTCTAGATGGTCTGTCTGATGACCTCAAACTAACCCTACGAATACTACACTCCCCCAGTTTTATTAATAAGGCTCCCTCTACTGAGGTGGGCCCTGTGAATTTCGCCCAAAATTAACAAAATACGGAAATCATACCAAATTTAAAGAAAATATGCATCAATTTAAAAAAGTATACAACCTATCCCCTAACAATTTAAAAAAGTATACAACCTATCCCCCAAACAGACCCTTTGTATTCATGGGTCTACTGATACACTAAAAGTTGATAAAATGGCATGGGTTCCCGACAAATTGGGAACCCAGCAAACTGTGAATTGTTCTTCTCTGGATCATACACTATCTTCCACTCTTCTTTATACAAACTAAGCCCTGGGCGCTTAAAGGCTGCAAGTCCTGGTTGGAGCTAGGATATTGTGCTGATCCACCTTCATTCTCCTTTACTTGTATTGTCTTTATACCTTTAAGGACAGGAATTCCAGGGTCCCACTGTCTTCTGCCGGGACCCCATCTAACTGTGGCAATGGTCACACGCAAGGCTGTTGTCCCACAGTCTACTGGTGGCGGTGATTAAAATACCTAGTGCCAACATTATCCGCTTTGAAAAGTAGCCCAAATCCCAAATCAAGGCTTTCTGGATCAATGTATACAGATTCCTGGATGACACAAGATTTGAGAGTTATAACTTCTTCTTTTTTGAGCGGACTGTTGCTTTCAGTTGCGGCCTTTCTGTCAATTTCTCCCGTGGAGGAAGGGTCCACAAAAGAGAAGGATTTATGACCTTTTTCAGTATTGTCAGTCATTCCTCCCTCAACAGCAGGAGTAGGACACGTCGAATCCTGGTATCGCGGACAACCTGTGACTGTCTTCTCATCACTGGTCCTTTCTACCAAAGTGGTATCTGCCTCACCATCTGAGGGGGAGTCCCAACTTTCTTGGGCCTCTTCATTACATGCCAAAGTTGTCTCTGTTGGGGCAGCAACCTTGTGAAGGCTACTGCTTTTCTCTATTGCCTAGATAGCTCCTATGGGTTTCGTCATAATATTGGCTATTGGACCCTCCTGGTGCTCGGTGAACAATGCTGGAGCAACTAAGTTGCCTAAGTTCAGTTCCTCACCAGAATCTAAATGTAAGGCTTGAATAAAATAAGTGGGCAGTATGATTCCTTCCTGATTACCCGGGCACAAGACCACCCCATTAGGCGACCAAAAGAATTTGTAGCCCTTGGCATGCGCCCTCTGTACATTTATGTGTACCTCTGCCTTTCAATGGGGCTTGACGCTGTTTAGCACTTTATCAACTAAGTGTACATACTGCCTTTCCATTTTCCGCAACCCCTCCTCTTGCATATGGCCCCATGAAGCCATTGTGGTGTAATGGTAGCCTTGGGGCACCTCACATTTTTCTACTAATGTCCTTTATCAAAGTGAACCTCCTGTCCACATCAACCTTGATCAGTTTATGAATACTCGGTAAAGAGTACCCAGCAAAGTTTGGGTGTCTTTTAAGGATTTCCTCAATTAACAAATACCCACCGAGGCGAAGTCTGTGACCCAACTCCAGTGCACCATGTCTCAATATGTTACCAATAAATTCTAACAAGTAGCGGTACAATCCGCCTGAAGGAGTTGCCTCTTTGTCAGAATTTGAGCACTGGTCTGACTCAATCTCTGCTCTAACCTCCACTGACACCCTAGATTCTTCTTTCCCCTCCCTGTCCCTGGGGAGATTGGCACTTACCCCTGGGCCAAATTAGTCCTACATTTGGGTCGATATCCTCAATTGATTTTCAATAGGCGGTTATGGTAACTTGTAGCTCAGTCGGTGTCGTGATCTTGAATATGAATGATGGCTCGTTTCGAAGCAGATACATTTTCACATAACTATGTGGTTAAATTTTCGGGGTACTTAATGCGATTACTTTTCCAGTAAATTATCATACACCGAAAATCCTGTCGTGATGCGACTCCTCGTGGTAAAAAATCCCTTTTTTAACACAAAAGGTTCTTTGAAAATTAAATACTTAGAACACATTAAATAGCTCCATAGTTTTTACACATATTTTGTATGTTCCTCTTCTTTCCAAATCAACACAATGGTTAAGCTCAGTCACTGGCTGAAAATAGAAACATGTCCAATATCACATCAAGGAGATTTATTGTTTACACACAACTTTTGTGTTCCCTCATTTTGAGGCGCATTAGGGATATTGACCCATATTGAAATCCATAGTTCTGAGTTTTCCAAATATTCTTTTGTGATCTTCATTGGTATGACTATTTGAATAAATCTGTGTATTTTTGTTCATTTCTGAAAAAAAAAATGAAGTTGTTTCAGTACTATGAGGCTATGACCCTTTTATCGCTATATTTATTAATTCTGTCTACAATGTGTACGTATAACTAATTTCTTTCAGTCTACCTTCACTAGTCATAATACATTGTATAGACACAATATCTGATGATAACCTTAAATTACAATACAGAGACCCTGTTAAAGCATTTAATAAATTTTCTGGTGTTTGACTAAAAGTTAATTTTGACTGAGAAATTATGATAAAATTTAGATTTCATAAAAAAAAATACTTAATCATCTTTTTCATTAGAAATCTAGTATTTTCAACCTTAGAAACCACTCCAATCTACTGTGAATGTCATTTGTATTATATAATTAAGGTGGCTCGGTGTCTTCCTCCATCTTGGATACTGAAGTAGCAGATAACGTTGGTCCAGATCTTTGATTAAATGTTCAAATTTTGAGAGTAGTATGCAATTTATGTGTAAGACTTTTGATATAATTATAGAAAATTGTATGTTTTATCATAATTATTGCTGTAATGTCTCAAAAACACCTTATTTGTGTTTGATTAATTTTTTTTCAACTTTGCCAAATAA